AAAAAAAAAAAATGATTCCACGCATTTCAAGTAGCTAGAAATGGTATATGTGTAATTAATTATTGAAAAAAAGACTTTATTTTTTATTTTTTTGGGTAATCCATAACTTTATTCCTTTCATTCTAATTAACTTATTCTAATCAAGATATGTTACTATAATTTCTCAAACATAAGGGGATTTTGTTAAAATACAATAAACCTCATCAAGTGTTAGTAAAAATAATGTGTTCGTTTAAACACATTACCATAATGAGTTTACTAATGCACATCAAAATAAAGGTACAGGTTGATTAACAAGACTACAAAAACTTGCATTTGCTTAAATAAAAGAAGAACAATACTAATTATAGAATAACCAAAGAACAATGCTAATCAATTGTTCAATAGAAAAATATTGTGGTTTTATTAACTACGTAGATAGTCAATAAGGAAACAACGAGTGGACTCGCCGTCCACAAATGACCATAAGTCAATTGGAACGTCAACCTCAGGGTGATTCCTGGAAACAAAAGTTTTCCATTCACCATTAGAACCCAAGGCATATCTCCCACCTCCCATTTTAACCAACTTTATTAGGGAAGTGTAACCTTCTAGTTCGACGAGCTTCACTGCCAGTGTATCTATGACAATGGCGAGTTTTATCTTGTCATCCAGGGAGAGAATAAGACTCGGTAGTAGTGCTTCATGTATTATTAAACACCTTCTACATATTTCTCGTTGAAACTTTAAATTAAGTCGTCCAACGAGATTTATGTGGCTGCCGTTCATCTCTTGGATCTTTTTCTTTGTGTCTTCTGTCAAATCAAAATTAGGCGTCTTTAAAATTTGATATATATTCAAAATATAATTAACCTTGTGGAATCGAGAAGATCAATAAGCAAACTGACTATTGTACTGTATATGATCACTATGCCCAACCTAATATAGCTTGACTCTGAAAAAACCGACCACCAATCCTTGTAGTCTAAATTAATTGCATGATCTTGCATGCATGTATATCCATATTACAAAGAAGGAATATAATCTTCTCTCAGTACAATTTGTAAGAAAATAATCTAAGGTTTAGTGACTTTTATACTAAGTTGCTTGATTAAAAAAATCAATACTCCAGATTATTATCAAACTTTGTACTGAGTTTTTCTTTGTCACCATTCCTTCTGTATATATGAATATATAAAAGATCATGCAATTAATTTAGACAAGTAAGATTGGTAGTCAGTTTTTCCAGGGTGAAGCTATAAATAAGGTTGGGCAGTGTGAACATAGTACAATGGTTTGTTTATTAATCTTCTCGATTCCACATGGTTATATCTTGAATATATATATATATATATATATATATATATAAAGTTTTAGAGATGGCTAGTTTTGTTTTGACAAAGAACACCATGAAAAGGATCCATGACATGAATGGTGGCCAGATAAAACTAGTTGGACGGCTTAATTTGAAGTTCCAAAGGGATAATGTAGTAGGCGTTTGATAATACATGAAAAGCTTCTACTGAGTCTTATTCTCTCACTGGCTGACAAAGAAAAACTCGCCAATGTTGGAGACACATTGGCAATGAAGCTCATTGAACAAGGTTATACTTCCCTAATCAAGTTGGTTAAAATGGGAGGTGGGAGGTATGCCTTGGGTTCTGAGGGTGAATGGGAAACTGTTGTTTCCAGGAATCACCTTGAGGCTGACGTTCCAATTGACTTGTGGTCATTTGTGGATGGCGAGTTCACTCGTTGTTTCGTTATAAATTATGTACGTGATTAATTAAACCACAATAGTTTTCTATTGAACAATTGATCAACATTGTTTGTTGGTTCTTCTATAATTAGTGTTGTTCTTCTTTTTAATTAAATTTAACTTTTGTTGTCTTGTTAATCAATCTATACCTTTATTTTGAAGTGCATTACTAAACTCGTTACGGTAATGTGTTTAAACGAACATATTAAATTTTTTTTTTGGGTTAATTTCACTTACATTTGATGAGGTTTATTGTGATTTCACAAAATTCTCTTAAATTTGAGAAATTATATTAACATTTATTGACTAGAATAAGTCTAATTACTCATTAGCATGAAAGGAATAAACTTATGGACTACAGAAAAAATTCTAAACACGTAGTCGTTTAAAATTAATTCATTAAATGTATATCGCGTCTAGTTACTTGAAATACGTAGAATCTATGTTTTTTTGGATTTTGTATCAAATTTAGCATAGTTCTCCATATTCATATCATTTCATTCAAATTCTTATACATTTTTTACACAAGAAAAATGTGGGGGATTCGAGTACAAACTTAGGCTGCCAATATAAACACTCTTAATCACTTAAGTTATAACCTCTTACCCTTCCAAAAGGAGCCTTAAATGATTTAAATTTTCAATCTTTTACGAATGAAGGAAAATGCACCATGCACGTGTGTGGGAATTGGGAACAAAGTGGAGTTAGAAAAATATTTAATTATTCAACTGTTTAATTTGTAGCTTAACATATATATACATTCTTGAAATTAAAACAATTTGTCATGGATATATATGCCATAATATGAAATGATCTCTTAATATAAAAGGAGAAAATTGGTAAACTATGGTTTGATTGACATGGATGCCAATGACGTATTACATTTGTATTTAGTTCAATAATTAGTTAGTGGCTTGTTTATAGTTACATAAACCAGTTGCAGACTCACCCAACTTCTATCCATGGGTGGAGCATATTCGTTGGTACAATTACACCATGAGGGCATTACTGCAGTCATAGTAGTAGAGTAATCTGGTCGAGGGGTTCTTCAGTTCAACTCTCAATGAAAGCACCAATTGTTGGAATCAAATTTCGTGCACCGCTATGAGTGGTGGAGATGTTTGAATTGGTTTACGTGTAAAAGAACACACAACCGTGAATAAGCCTAAGACAGGGGAGGGTGTGCCGGTTAAAGGATCTCAGATGATCAAGTTAGTAAGCAATATTATGACTCAAGCAATGGGCAATAAAGTAAGTGTGCAACGTTTACGTTACCAAAGATGAACCTAGAAGGGTCCATAAGGATATCTATGAAGTAGATATTACATCATCTTAGGAGTATGATTACTTGCAGCGCACACTAACTCTTAAATTGTAAGGGCTCCAAATCATGTTGAATCCATACTAGATTAGGTTCCTGAAACTTGTGGAACAAGAATGGTCTATCTCAACGAAGTTGACGAACTTCGCTCATTGATTCTGGAGCAAATGATGGTGGCACCACTGATCCGTTTAGTCAGCCCCACAATGGAGGTTGTTGAGTCCATGACTGGACTTCTGAGGTAGGCAAACTCCTATCCGTCTTACTTTGGCCTTGGAAAATCATGGTCCCACAATACCAATGTAAGGTAATTCACATTGCAGGCTTTCTTTGTTTATTTTTCAATGTGTTTTGTTACTTTTGTATTGTAAGCTTTTAAAGTTTTATAATAACTAATGTATCTATATTTATGTATCTGGATTGTGTATATTGGCCAATTGAATTCAAGTATCGCCTCTCTTACTCTTAATCCACAACCACACAACAAGTTTGAAGGCAATCTCAAGTTTCTAGTTCACAAGGTTCAATGACCTCTCTTCCATTGGTTTCATTTTCACAAGGCCTATGTATTGGTTTTTTTTTTTTTTTTGAATGAAAAGCTGGTTTGGGATTGCCTAAATTTTTTTCAAAATATAGGTCCAAAACAACAGAAAGTAGAAGATAATTCTATAAAAAATAAAAATAAAAATTTTGTCATTAGAAACAAGTGAACGATACCAATTAATGAAACTTTCATATTGACAATCCTACTCGCATCCTTTTTTGCTAAAAACACTTTTAACGCTATAATTTATCAAAGAGAAATTTTATTTGAACCCATATAACCTCTTTCTATACCTAACTTAAATTTTAAATATGACTTGTCCATTTTTTTTTTAATTTTTTTTATCCTATTGCATAATTACTATCAAGTACAATGTGAAAATAACAACAAAACTAAAATTCATAAATAAACTCATACTCAATAATTAAACCCCACCATCACACAATTTTTATCCTACATTCATTTGCTAAAACCCTGAAAGCTCCCATACAGAAAAACAAGTTTTTTTTATCGATGGATGGTGCTTTTGAAGTTTTGAACCCTCCAACTCAGGTATGAATCGATTTATGCAATTTTTTTTAGTTTGATTATTTTTTTTTTTTTTCTAAGTTTGGAATATGGGTTTTTGAGTTTCCCTGGGTTTTTGGGTTTTGCAACTACACACCATGTTACCATTAAAATTAGGAACTTGTACCCATCTCTCCTTTAAAGGTAGAGTTTGCAAGTGAACACGTTCCTCTATCCCAATCAGCTTAATTTTCATTCGTCATTAGTCCTCTTGTTAATAGACTTCTCTCCTTAATTTGTAAGCAACATTAAATTTGTAGAAACTCTTCAAAAGTAGTCATTTTTTTTTCTTTTGAGAAAAAGTGAGTTACAATGGTAAAGGTCATGCACAAAAAAAAGTTTGGAACGTCCTCGACAATTACAAATCTATGCCATCAGTCAGTCAAAATAGCATTTTAGTAAGTAATCCGACAAAATCAATGTCCTCGTGAGTTTCAATTCACGATAATCAAAGTTGAGAAGATGATGTTTCTGGGATTTTATTTATTAAACGGGTGTAAAGATAACTTTACATTTTGAATTGGGTTTGTGATGGTAGTTTAGTTAGTAAATTTAGATTGAAAGAGATATTAATTTTTTAATTAAAAATAATATACATATAGAGAATAAATTAAATATAGAAAGAAGTTATACGGGTTCAAATAAAACTTCTATTTATAAAATATTTATCTGTTTTCTCACAACTGTTTATTCTCTTAAAGAAACAGTCAACTCCAAACTAGCCCCAAATCTTATCCATCATTGCCGTAAAACAGACTTAGTGAGTTCTACAAGTTACAAGTTGGAATCCACCCTATCCTTCTGTCCTCACTGCTCCGCTCTATATATAGCACAGACTTCAACTCTCTCTCTCTCTCCTCCCCCCCCCACCTCCTCTTCTTTCTTTATCCCTGCCGGATTCCGGCAACATGGCGACGGAAAAAAATTCCGGTAAAATTCGCAGGCGACCTTGCGATTGAGATCCGAAATCGATTATTCTCACTTTCTTGGTACGCAAACATTTCGTTTATTTTCGTCTTGATTCCTTGAAGTTGTTGTTTTTCTCGGCTCCTTTAGTCGAGATCCGATTAACTACCGATCCGGATCGTAATTTTTGTTTTTGTGTCTTTGGTATCCGGATTGGACCTTAGCTCTCTGAATAGTGTTATTGTTTTTGTTTGCTTGCTGTTGCTGTTGTGTGTGTATTATTATTATTATTTTATTTTTTTGTAAAATTTGTGTCTTTGGTATTGAATTTGTGCTTGATGTTGTGGAATATGCAGATTTTTGTGTTTGGATTGATGGAAATCATTCGAGAAAAGGTTCTTGGAATTCTTGATCGTTTGGTTTGCCATGTTTATTTGTATTGTGAATCCGATGGGGGATGGCTATGAGATTGTTCGAATTTCGTTTTCGATATAGAAATTGGTAATGGAGTTTGCCATGGAATTTTGACTATTCTTTAATGGAGGGGAAGAAGTAGATCAATGAAAATCGATTACCTGCAAAGATCGGAATTGTTTTTTCGGGTATCGGGTTGATAGGTTTGGGATTTGTGTAATTGGGATTTTTTTTGGAATCTGTATGAAGAATGTTTTTTGTTTGGGAGTTTTAGTTGGGATATACTGAAGTTTTGTTAACATGAGAAACATGCCTTCCCAGTTGGCTAATTATACGAAGGAAGAAAAGGAAGAGAGAGTAAATGTTATTTCGAATGTGAATTTGAAGGGGACAACGAATGATGGTCGTCGTAGGTGTGGATCAAGTGACTCGCTTGTCCCCGGTCTTGTTGACGATGTAGCTTTGAATTGCCTCGCTTGGGCTTCTAGATGGGATTATGCTTCTCTGTCGTGTATTAATACAAGGTTTAATAAGTTAATTAAAAGTGGGTATTTGTATGGGTTGAGAGAGCAGTTGGGAATTCTGGAGCATTGGGTGTATCTGGTGTGTGATTTAAGAGGGTGGGAGGCATTTGATCCAATGGGAAACAAATGGATGACATTGCCTAAGATGCCTTGTGATGAGTGTTTCAATCATGCGGATAAGGAGTCTTTGGCCATGGGAAGTCAGTTGTTGGTTTTTGGTCGTGAACTGTTGGATTTTGCGATTTGGAAGTACAGTGCAATACATCGTAGCTGGATAAAATGTCAGGGAATGAACCAGCCCCGCTGTTTGTTCGGGTCTGGTAGCCTTGGTTCAATTGCTATTGTTGCGGGTGGGAGTGATAGAAATGGAAATGTTTTGAAATCAGCAGAGATATATGATTCTGTATCGGGTAGGTGGGAAATGCTACCCAACATGCACACTCCACGTAGATTGTGCACTGGTTTTTTTTGGGACGGCAAGTTCTACGTTATGGGTGGGATGTCAAGTCCTACTGACTCGCTTACTTGTGGGGAGGAATATGATCTTGATATGAGGAAATGGAGGAAAATTGAGGGTATGTATCCATCTGTCAATAGGGCTGCACAGGCTCCTCCACTTTGTGCAGTTGTTGATAACCAATTGTATGCAGTTGAGTATGTAACCAACATGGTGAAGAAGTATGACAAGGGGAAGAACACCTGGGATGTTTTAGGAAGACTTCCAGTGAGGGCTGACTCTTCAAACGGCTGGGGCCTGGCCTTCAAGGCTTGTGGAAAGGAACTTCTCGTTGTGGGCGGGCAAAGAGGTCCTGAAGGTGAAGGTATTGTTCTGAACTCATGGTCTCCAAAGTCAGGGGTCAAGAATGGCACCTTGGATTGGAAAGTTATCGGTGTGAAAGAGCATGTTGGGGTGTTTGTGTACAACTGTGCAGTTATGGGTTGTTGAAGATTCTTTTTAGATTTAACACAAAAGAAGGTACTGGTTTCTGCAATCTGACATGGCCCTTCCCTGTGCAGTTATGGGTAGTTCCTTGTGCATCCATCTGATTGACTAGAATTAATTGTTGCCGAGATAGCATTTCCCTGGCAAAGAAGTTGGTTCTCTTAAGATGCCTGCATCTGGAGGTGTTTTATTCTTCCATGATCCTGCATAAGATTTGCTCCAAAAAGAGCGAAGTAGGGACACATGGGTAGGATGCTCCGCCATATTTATTTTTCAAGTTGTGTTTCTCTTCTACAGTCAGTTATCTGTTTTAATAAATTGAAAGCGTAATTGTTTAATGATTTGTTTTTATAAATTTGATGCTTGATAGTGTTCTGTTCGTCACAATTTATAGTTTTCTGGAGCAAGATAATGAATTCTTATCTATCAGCTTCTTGATTAGCCATATTTCTTGCATTTCCGGCATATTTCTTTGGTGATACTTTCCTGGTTTAACATCTCTCTGTAGCCTGGACCGACATCTTCTTTTCCATGTTCATCTGGTTTTTCAATATTCAGTGTTGCACATAATTCAACATCTATGTTTCCGGGTAAATAAAAAACCCTTGGCTAACTTTCCTTCTGCTGTTTTACGTATTTTTTGTTACATTGTCTCGATTTATCCATTTTGGATCGCTACTTTGACATCTGTTGTTTTCTTCATGCAAAAATGGTTTTTGCTTTGTTAGAGGAGGTCACGACTTCAAGTCTCATGACTCGAGTTTATGCTAGAAAACTCATTGAGTGAGGCTGTCAAATGCCTATATAATGTAGGAAAAATTTGAAAATTATCAAAATTTATCCAAGTCGTCATTCACACAAAAGTACTCCTCGCCACAAATTGAAGCCGTCGTCGAGATTCTTGTCGGGCGAAGAGTACAGAACGTCAGTATTAAGTTGTTTCTTGCCTCCCAACTCTGCTGGCATAAGAGAAGGCATTTTCGAAGTCTGAAATTCCATAAGTATTTCATTAACGTAAAGTTAAGTAAGCCAATCCATGGAAGGAAGGGATTAGGTGTTGAGTATTGGATCCATGCATGATGAGCAAAATGAACAATTTTTGAAAATATGTTGGAAAGTTTCTCTTTAAATTTGCAGAAAGGACATCGAGGGGTCAGTGTTAGGATAAAATTCCCCCAAATTGCTTCTCGTTTTAAGCATGCTCTTAAGAAACGGTTGAAACGTTGAAGTACATTACTAAAAATCATGCAAATCTAATATTATATGACCGTTGGATCAAATAGTAGTCATTTTAGTGTTTCTTTGCAGAATTGCATTCATCCATTTTCTTTATTATATATGAATGTGCTAATAATTTTAAATTTGTAAATTTTTTTTTTTTTTTGTAGAAATAATCTGTGAATGACAAAATTAATAAACAGTTCAGATTTTTTAAGAGTTGTGGACTTATAAACAGTGTGTAAAAAGAGGAAGTCATCCGATCTTAACCCAAAATGTGGAATCCCTCACTGTTAGAGAACTAATATATAGAGATATAAATCGTATTCCAGAATAAATCATAAAAAATCCATAACGGAATATTGTGGAAAGGGGGAAGGGAATACTTGGAACCGGATCCCCTCCGGACATAAATATATTGAACTTGCTGAGTAAGGATCTGATTGTTGAAATTTGATTTAACGGTTACAATTATTATAAATTTTTAAAAACTTATTGTTTATAACTGTTGGATCAAATTTAAATGATCCTGATCCCTTGCTCAACAAGCTCAATTTTCTTAGGTCTATAAAGGATCCGATTCCGCTATACTTAATACTTTTAACTTTATCATTGTAAATTTAACACATATAATTAATAATAGAGCACACAAAAAGTTGGCACATAGTATAAGTGTAAAAGATTTGATCTCGTACTTCCGCAGCTTCAATTGTTATCGCTGCATCTGTCACCGCACTACCTCAGCAGCTGGGACCAACAAAATAGTTTAGGATTGATCCAAATGTGAGGACGTGGCGATAGAAGCGAGAAAAGGAGAGATTTTTCAAAAATAGTAGATGACGTGTTTTTATATAAATAGTAGATTATATATGTTAAAAAATTAATAACTTAAAAATTAAAAGTTTTCATCATTTGCATAAAAATACGTAATGTACCATCGTATTCTCGTCACAACTAAAAATTTCTCCAAAAAAAAAAAAAAAAGAAAGTTAAGTTAAGGCTTGTCTTTCCTTCCCAACTCCAAAGGTGGTCGTGGCGGACGTAGGACGTTGTCGTTGGTTGGGTCGGTGGACACAGACACCCCAATGTCCCATTTCCAGATTCATTCATGAAAATATCTCAACCTTTCTCTCCTATCTATCTCTCTCTAGAATGCAAACAAGACATCCCAAGCCAAGGTACGTTTTCTCTGTTTTATCAATATCATTTATCATGTTACTTGTTGGGTTTTCATCATAATTTAATCTTCTCAATTTGTTTTGTGAATTTTTATTTATAAATGATTGATGGAAATGATTTGCTGATCTAACTTTTAACAAATTCCAACACTTTCATTGGGCTTCTTCTTCAGGTTTCTCATCTGCCAAACAGAAGATTCAGATTTGATGGTATTTTCTGCATGTTTGTAATCGTTTAATAAATAAGTGGAAACTGAAATTCCCGAGTATAGAGACAATGGGTAATTTTGGAAGCAACACCTCCGGGGGTCGCCGGAGGCACCGCCCGCAACCCCAAATGTCTGGGGGCACTCATGTTTTTGCTGCTTCCACACCAACTCATCCGTCTCAATATCCAAACCGACAAGACTCCAATCCGCCGCAATACCATCAGAACCCGTCTCAATATATAAATGGATCAAACCCCAATCCGCCCCAGTTCTTCCAATACCCCAGATTCTACCTGCCGCCGCCTATGCCGGTACCGTATCCGCAGCCTTTTCATGGCAGCGGAGTCTATATGGGCCCCACTCCCGCCAATTGGGTTCACGGGCAGTTCCCTTTCGGTGCTGCTCCCCCTCCTCCTCCCCCTCAGGGTGCTACCTTTGTGGAACATCAGAAGACGGTCACCGTTAAGAATGCCGTGAATATCAAGAAAGACTCTTTGCGGGTTGAGCCGGATGAGGAGAATCCCGGGAGGTTCCTTGTTGCTTTCACGTTTGATGCTGCTGCGCCCGGAAGGTAAATTGCTCGTGTTTCATGGATGCATGTTTTATGAGAGTATTTTTTGTATGTTTTGATCATTGGAGTAGTGACGTTTGACTAATGACTACGGCTTTTTGAAAAATGTAGTTCTTTGATGATGACATTAGATTAGTTGAATTTGTTTCGAGCTGATTATTTGGTTTATTGGTGATACTTGGTGGTCATGTTAGGCAATATTTATATGCCTTGATCAAGTCAACTGTTTGAAAGCATAGCATAGTCTTGTAGACCAAGGAGGAAAGCGTATAGCCTAGCTCGAGCTGTCAAGCTTATTACATGGTTAATATTGTCTAATTATAGAGGTTAAGGGCCTAAGGTAGATGAACTGCTAAATGAAGTTATGACGCTTCTGTCCCTGCTGTAAAATGATTGACAAATCTGTCGGTGTTATTTGTGACATGGCGATTATGGGAGTCTAATATTTCTCGATTAGAGTTTAAACAAAACCTCTTTTCCTAATTGTCTAAAATTTCTTATTCAGTTGTTAAACACCTTCATGCGATGTTCTTAGACAACATAATGTGTATGTGCAGCTAGAAAGGGTCTTCTCGTTCTTCTCAACCTTTTTTTTTATTAGCGGTAGTGACGTTTCTTCTATAAGTGTTCCTTTTTACTTAATTATTTATCCCCTGTTTTGTGCCACAGCATTACAGTTCTTTTTTTCGCTAAAGAAGATGTAGACTGTAAACTGTTAGCAACAAAGGAAAGCTTGCTTAAATCAGTTACAGTGCCTTTTGAGAAAGGACTTGGTCAAAAGTTTAGACAACCTTCCGGAACTGGGATTGACTTCTCAGTGTTTGAGGACATAGGGTTTAGTAAAGAGGGTGACATAGAAGTCTATCCTCTTGTGGTGAAGGCTGAATGCTGTCCCTTGAATGAAAGTGAGCAGGAATCGGTTGGAAATTCAGCTAGGAATTCTCAGATCACCCAGGCGGTGTTTGAAAAGAAGGAGAATGGGGAATACAAAGTGCGGGTGATGAAGCAGATATTATGGGTGAATGGTATGAGGTATGAGCTGCAGGAGATCTATGGTATTGGGAATTCGCTTGAAAGTGATCAAAGTGGAAATGATTCTGGCAAAGAGTGTATAATTTGCTTGTCAGAGCCTCGAGATACAACTGTCCTCCCATGCCGGCACATGGTATGTAAAGATTCTCTTCTTTCCCTCGTCTTCTATCGTTAGTTTGAATGAACAGATCTTTATGTGATGTCCTTTTTTATTTTGCTTACAAGAGAAATTGAATCTAAGTTCTATCCTTATAAACCACCACACAATTCCACTTGAACTACGTTGTTTGGGGGCGAGAGACATCCCTAACTTTCATAACTTTTCTGGCTGAAAAAGTGCATCATCCGCTTCCACCCCTGTCCCCTCCTACAGACTTCCATTTAGCCTCAGAAGTTCAGAACATATTGTTTCCCTCTTGGATGTATAAAGGAGTGTCGCAAATGGGCCAGAATCCACTTTGTATCACTCCCTATGTTTACGGTCTTTTGGTTGATGTTACATCTTGGGAGTTCTGCTCTGGTGTTGTAATTTGAGCATGCCCAAGTTTTATCTTCTTTTCTTCTGGCTAATATTTTGTCTTTTGACTGCAGTGCATGTGCAGTGGTTGTGCTAAGGTTTTGAGGTTCCAGACAAATAGATGCCCCGTCTGTAGGCAACCTGTTGATCGTCTCTTGGAAATCAAGGTGAACAATGGAGCTGATAGTTCAGGGTAGGATGCTATCAACACTGGTAAAATCTATAAAATCCAAAAGAAAACGGAAGAAGAAAAGGAAAAACACGACCCGACCTTCTCATGTTAGTATTTAGTAACGACAGTATCGTGTCTTAACACAACGCGCTTTATTTACTTTTAACCTGTCTTGATCGTTGTACATGCTTTTCCTAATGACGCCACTGTGGATGCTTTTCCTAATGATGCCGTTGACGATGAGAGATAGTCGGTACTTAACATTATTTTTTCCTTGTATTTTAGTGCGATAGAGGGTGAGAACTGTCGCACTAAAATACTCCTAATATTAAGTCCTTTTCCAACCTCTAAACAACTCTTATTTTTTCTTCAATTTGTGTAAATACTATTTTCTTTGGAAAGTATTAAAGATTCAATTTGAAGGGTAAGCTCTCTAATGCGGATTTTTCAGAACTATCAAATTCAACGTCCACCCCTATTAGAATACACGAAATAAGGTCTTTTTAGTCAAAATGGTCCTGGAGATTTGCACAATTCATCATTTTAGTTCTTGAGATTTGAAATGGATAGAAGTAGTCCTTGGGTTTGTTCACCGTTAAATCATTTTAGTTCTGTGAAAATCTCCGTTAAATAAGGATCAAAATGACAAAAAACACTTTCAGTTAATGAAAAACAAAGTATAAAAATCATCATTCATCCATTGTATAACATGTGACAATAGATGATGATTTTCACTCTCATTTTCTCCTTACACACTCCTTATAGAAAGTCATTTTGATACATTGAAATCATTATACTCTCAAGTTGAGTTGTTTTAAGCAACAACTCGTTTATTTGGACTCTAAAAATTACCAAGCACAATTGACACAGACTTTGAAGCTTACAATCAAAACTAAAAGCATAGTTCATGCGAGTATAGCTTGCATAAACTCTACATCTTCTGCCATAGCTCGTAGAGTCTCTGGCCAAAGACAAGCTTCAAAATCAATACTTCCTTCTTCAGCCCCAGGATACACCGTTAAGCTCCCAACCTTTCTTTCTTGAATTCCGCTTCGCACAGCAACCGGCCTTCCCCACCCAAAATCATTACCATACACATTGTACCGGGGCGAGCTTCCTGTGCACAAATCAAGAGTTTCTGGATCCATTTGTAAATTTGGAAGAAATGTAGGAGCTTTTACCCAATCCTCCATGTACTTCCTCACTTCTTCAGCTTTCAGCGAACCAATTTTTTCGTTTATTCGGAAGGCTGCCCACCCTAGTCCATGTTGTACTAGCTCCCCTGCTGTGCACTTCACAAGAACGCCTAGAACCGCATTCCCGAGGTACTCTTTTGGCAACGGTGGCTCCATTCTTTGCCGCAATCCCACTGCAATCAGGTAGCGAACTTCTTGATCTGGGTTCAGATTTCTGGCACGCGTTACCGCTCGCCAAAGATGAGCCATGAGTGCTTGAAGGGATGAGATCGTGTTATTATCCGTGGTGCCCATCTCAACATTAGCCTTGGACTTGAGCTCTGCCACCTTCTCTTTAGGAAAATGAAATACTACCCTTTGTGAAGAATTCAAAGACGACGATCCATGTCCAATTACAGACTTCTTGGTCATAATTTCTTGAACGTAGGAGAAGGGTAGCTGAATTGGAAGATCAATCAAGCCGTCATGAAATTGACGAGCGAAAACAGGACGAGGTTGAGAAATTTTACCAGAAGGTTCAACACGAGAAATTTCAGACCACGTATTGAAGAAATGCCAGAAAGAGGTACCATCAACGACCATATGATTTATACTGCAACCAATAAAGATTCCGTCAACAAGCTCAGTGACTTGTACTGCAAGCAATGGTTTCGTAACACCCTCGTAGTTCCAAGCCTCCATCATAGAAAAGAGGTGGTTGACAATGTCATCTGCAAGATAAACAGATTCAAGGATATCCACCACTTTGACACCATCGGCAGCTGCATGGACAAACTCAGCTCCATCGCCATTACAGTCGATGAAGAAAGAACCAGTGTTATCGTCACCATTTTTAGTCAGGGCGAGCCGACCAGCGAGCGGGTAGAAAATATTCAAGGTCCGAGCAAGAGTGGATTTTAGGTGGTCTATCAAGCTGTTGCTCTCTTCCGTCTCTGCTGATTTCTTGAAGAGAAGCCCCTTATGAGTGTAATCAATTTGGATCAAGCGCAGATCCCACGGAGCTAACTCGATTCTGTGATTTAATTCATCATTGTCGTCATTCGTTGGTCGGATGGTGCTGGTGGAGATGTGCCGAATCGGAGTCATTTCAATTGATTGCAGCTCACACCGTTGAAAGGTGATGGTTATAGAATGTGGTGATATAGTACGGTGGATTTGTTTACGATGGAAGATAGAACAACGAGATAAGCATGGAGGATTTTATAATCCTAACATACAAGAAAGATATGTATTTTGTAAACTAAAGGGGTCGTAGTCATTGTGTATTGAGAGGATTTAAAATTTTTTTTTTTAATAAGTAACAGATTTTAAAGGATTGTAGAATTTTTACAACTTTCAAAGAATTCTTAGGGATTTTGATTAAAGATTTGAAAGAATTCTTATGTACTTTGATTAAAGATTTGAATGGATTTTGAAAACACCCTAGAAAACCTTCATTTAACCATAAAGACAAATAATTTCAAAAATATCAAGGTTGCCCTTGAAAACATTCAAACAACAATTGAATGCAAAAGATAATAAAGTATGGGCATGGACTCCAGGAGACAAGGCATGTAGGAAGTCCACATGCATTCAGCAAGTTCACATGTCTTTCAAAACAAAAGCAAAAGAAGGCAAATAATTCGGTCCACTTTCAGAAACAGTAACACCAACAATTTAAAAAAACAATGCAAAGTTACTATTAAAAAAAGTTGTAAATAGTTGTTTTCTTTTTGAAAAGTTGTTTTGTCATTTAAGAAATTGATTTGTATATAAGAGTCTTTCGTCCAATGCAGAGACACCTCAATACACACTACTCCAATACACCTCAAGCACAGAGCATCCAAAACATTCCTATCCTTTGTAAACACTTCTTTGTAAACATTTTACATATCAATAAAAGTTCAAGTGTACATATTCAAGCAATCTCCAAGTCTTAAGTAAGCTTTCTTATTTCTTTCTTTCTTTCTTCTTTCTTTTTAGTGTGTTTAATTAGACTTCTAGTCCAAAACAGGAAAACACTATTGTAGTTATATTATTAATCTGCAAAAATGACGATCATACTTTGTTCGAGCACTCTGTTATAGTTGAATGATTGCCATAAAAATAACTGGACATTAACTAGGGTACCTTTGAGTTCTTCGTACATCTGAGTTCAGCCTTTAAGGCCTTATACCTGCATTGTGAGTGGTCGTCATGATGAAATATGTCGAGTTCCATGTGCAAGGTTTTATGTCTAGTTGTTATAATGGTCATTCGACTATTTAACCGGGCCTTTGCCTTATGAATTTGGTATTAGAGCCAAGTTTAGCATTTTAATAGTATAGTTATAATAGTAAAGCACCTTGAGGTATGAAGTCATTAACACAACTGATATCACACACTTGTTTAATTGTATATGAACAATTCAATTCAGGTTCTAGGGTTTGTTCTTTCTTTATTATGATTGTCCGTTAGGTGTCCAGGTGTAACGAAGTACTTTTAATCATCAACTTAACCATGGTGTCTAGTCTAAGTCAGTAATAAAAAATCCATTAAGTACAAGAAGAACGAAGGAAACCAAAAAGTGTCTTAGCATGGCGTCTGCATCAACAACAATTCGTTCATCCAAGAGAGCTATCTCAAGGCTAATCATATGGTGTCTACTATAACCTTATCTCATACATCTAAAAATTCATATTAAAGGTACCTAATCAATGACATGAACATAAAGAATGATTTAAGCACAATAAATGAAACTAGAAACCTTTGAATTGATAAAAGAATAAAGTTAACTAATACATAGAATGATCATGAGGCTACATCAAATCCATAATAAAGAATTTAGTTAATCATAACCATCAAATTACAGCAAGACATAATCATGACAATCATAAGTACAAAGCTTGAAAAGATGTAAAAAAAAATCCCTTAGAGGACCCCTTGGCTTCTAGCTTTTCCTTAGGTCAATCCTCTAAACAATCTGATGAAGTGAGTCTTCCCCCCTTTCACGTCCAAGGAATATAAAGTTTAGGTAAATCTTTACCGCAATTGTAAAATTCCAGCCCAAACAGGAGTCCCAATATTATTAGACTTTGGTTTCCTGACTCAAACTGGACTCCAATTATTCATAATCGCGTAGAATTCTTGAACTGACCTTCTACCACTAAAGCAGGTATAATTTCTTCTAGAAGTATCAAAATCATGATCTGTAAAATTCTACTGAAACTAGACATCCAAAGCTTTCTGTACATGTGTGGCACAACACCTAGTTCATCCTAATGAATTTGTAACATCCCAATGAAAATGATAGTTCTGCGCAGCACCTTCCAGCTCCAGTTATAATTTCCAAACAGCAACCATTAAAATTACGGATTGAATAAATTAGCATCTTATGATCGTTGGAATACTTCTCGACTTCAGTTCTTCCTAACTTTGATCCTTTTTCGCCTTAAAATCACCAAAAGACTCCAATGTCTTCTCTACAGTCCATTATCTACAAAATACGCACTAGACATATCAAACAACCAATTTCACAAGAAAACATAGCATAAAACTTCAGAAATATGGGCAATATAAATGTATAAATATTGTGTTATCACCATGTCTTTGTGATAATACAGAAAGTTGTATTTGTAAACCAAATGTTAGCATAGCTGTAGGCAAGATTAACATGAAAGATCTTAGACCATGACATTTTATTATGAGCATTAGAAAAAGCATAATGTTATAGAAGTTACCCCAACCTTACTATTAAAGTTTGGTTATCTTGATAAAATATTCATTAACCATATTTCCCGACTAGAATCATTTCCTGAAAGGCTTATAAAAGTAGCAGAAGATTATCTATAACAATGGAAATAAATTTTCATAAGTTTTATTAGTAGTCCTCCAGATTGGTATGTACAAATGCATAAAGAGAAAGCTAGACATATAACCATGATTATTAAAAAGTCCTTTAGACTATCCTCTATCTTCCTACACAGGTGGACTCCTTCATACAAAAATATTATGAGATTTAGAGAGATCCAAATGTTAGCCTTAGATGAGTTTGAAGATTTTAGGTATGATATGATATTAGTAGCTGAAGAAGAAATGTATATTTACAGCAAGTCAAAAGCCTATCATCAGCCATACTGGAGGCCTTAAAATTTCAAAGGAGAAATAGAAAATATGTATTACAAGGTGAAAAAAAAAATAGGGAAAGAGAGGCAGATCTAGTGGAAGGAGACGAACAATACTGGAACAATTTGACAGAAGAGGAGTTGCACAAC